AGATGGAACTGGTTTTTGTGGCCAAATGCTGGATCGCTGACGTTTGGATGATTTTTAAACTGATATATTGGCCATAACTTTGTGAATGAATATAATATTAAATATTTCGCTTTCCGACTTACATGTCTGGAAAGACACCAATATATAAATATATATATATATATACATACACACACACATACATTTTGTTTAATCGTTTTATTTTTTGCATAAAAGAAAGATGTACTACTCACCAGGACAACAAGCGAGGTAAATGTTGATCTCAACTTTCTTATGTTTCTTAAAAACCTAGAATATTAATTGTAGTAATTATAAAACTGATAAAAGGCGGGCTTTCATTTGGTATTAAAATCTTCTGAATGTATTCTCGTAACGTTATCCATGAGAAAAGTTATCTTCGAATGTAACTAATTGGTTAAGGTAAAACATTTTAATCAAAGTCGATTTAATCAGAAGCAAACTTAAACTATGATCTGAAAAATCAGAGAAATATACGATTATTTCATCAAAAGTTGCAAAAGTGACAGAAAACTTCGATTTTTTGAACGAACAAACCTAAACCTGTGACGGTTTTTATTACTGACAAAATCCTAATTTAACGAACATGCAAAAACATATACACGAAAAACCTTAACTTATAGGAGTGAATGAAACTTATTACTGGTAAAAACATATTCAACTAATAAGCATACACCTATACAAATATAGAAGAAACCAAAATCTATATATAAATATATGTTTTATTACTGAAAAAAAAAAAACTGACTCAACGAACAAGCATAAACTTGTAAGGAAAAAGAATATAAACCTGTAAAGATAAAGAACAACATAAACCTGTACAGATACAGATCGAGCATAAATCTATAGATTCAAAACAGATACAGTTGTATATTTATTACAGTTAATCATTGCTCAAGTTAAGAAAGTTTTAAAATACACAAAAATTAAGTATCATTATTAACTTACCTATTTATGCATGGATGATTTTACAAAATAAAAAAAAAATGCTTTTGTGAATCATTTTCCTCAAGTTTGGAAACTTAAATTAGACTAATTATACCCAGAATATGAATATTTGTGTATCAACAAAGTTAGTTAAATCCATTCAATTATTATAAAAACAAAACCTTTCAAGTTCTCTTACAAATGTGATAATTACTGCATTAAAATAAGCTTTTAAAACTTACAGCTAGAACCTTAAGTTTTTACATTTCCTTATAATGTTCTTTTTTTGTCTAAAAGTAACAGTAATATCAAATGTCTAGCGTTATTGTATGAAATAATCAATTAAGCAGCTTTCAGGTGCCAGAATGCTGCTTACCGACATAACATGTAATTAGATAGTACAAAATATACTATTACAGAGGAAAATCTTTATTTCAATAGTAAACACGTTACTGACTAATACTTCACTTAACACTGTATAATAATAATGTGTTAATACTGTATAATAATAATAATAATGTGTTAATACTATATACTAATAAAAATGTTAATACTGTCAAATAACAAAAATGTGTGATCAAATACGCATGGTCAATTTTTATGTACTATGTCAGTATTAAAACAAATTAGTAACTTATGCAATTATCCAATAAATACCTGCTTTAGAGTAGTTACTCCGCTTGTGTCGAGATAACCAAAACCAGAACACTCTATGATTATATGTGTGGGTAGCCGAGTTGCGTCAAAGTTGTAATCATAAGATGGTAACTGGTCCTTTGTCTTTTCTGTAAAGCCAAAGTTGATGTACCCTTGGGTGTTTTCGTCGTTTGCTGATTTCTTAGTTAATACAATTTCACTTTCTGATATCTAAGTTCATGAGAAATGTACAGAAATATATGAATACACTCACATCTTATGAAAACGGTTTTATTGTTCATAATCACGCTAGACTGGAAATAGTTAATCAAAACACTTGCTGATTTAAAACTTTCATGTAATGAATATGATCTGAATTACCTTGAAAAATATAAAATTATAGAAATATTAAATTCACTATGAACTACATTGGCATAATGGTGAAATTCTGATTCCTTGGTGTAAGCCCAACGGGTTAAAACGCTGCTTGACATATTCCATTAAATAATTTATATCTATCATGCTACTTTGACTATGACCATCAAAAATTTTTATTCATTAATGTGTGGATATAACTTTCACCTATATTTGTGTACATTGAAATGACGTTTGCTATATGAAATCATCAAACTGAAAGCATCCACCAAGATATACAGCACAAGATATGTCACTTTTCTACTGATTTTGGATGAAGTATGTTCCAATAACTACAAATACATTGTTGATCACTGCTCTTATCCCAGTTGTGAGTGTTTTTTAAGAAGATTCAACACACTTATGTTTCACACTGTCAGTTTGTTTATTTGGAATTAAGCACAAAGCTACACAACGGGCTATCTGTGCTCTGCCCACCACGGGTATCGAAACCCGGTTTCTAGTGTTGTAAGTCCGCAGACATACCGCTGTGCCACTGGGGGGCCTCACACTGTCAGAAAATCATTTTTTAATAGCATATATAGTAATGTAAATATATGGGTGTGTTGGGTTAAAGATTATTCTGCAGTAGGTAACTGTGACTTGTTGGCGATAAATTCGACAATAAACGAACAGCACACACTCTACTTGCTTTTAAAACAATATATATATATATATTCGAAACAAGTTAAACATATGGATATTATAGTTGTATCTTAAACAATATACAGTTTTCTTCTTCTTGTCAAAAGTCCACTTAGGTCAATGCAATTGCTTTAGAATTCAGTTGACAAGCCAAACTGTTTTTCTCTATTTTTATCGCAATAGTATCCATGTATAATTCACTTATGCTATCACATGAGCTACCGCAGTTGTATCCTGAACTTTCAATACATGTCTGCTCTTCCTACTTCCAATAATCGTCTGCCTTTTCTCAAGGCTCACACAGACGGGTTCAATTTGTTTGGAACTCCCTTTGACGAGACAAATTATTGTTCTTATCTCTTTCAAACTGTTAATCTCACTGTAACATATCAACCGCTAGGTCATTCACTCCCACTACGATTAACTTTACGTTTTCTAACTTTTCTCTGACCAAACCTCTCTTTCACATGACTTTACTTTTACTCTCTTTCTGCTCGTCTGTTCGCAGCTGTTTATACGTTTATCACTTAGGCCTTCTAGAAATCTCTATAGCTTCAACATCAGTGGATTGCAAACACAAGTTCCATAGCCTCGACATCAATGAATTCCAAACACAAAATATATAAATTAATGATACTACTTAAACTAACAATTTTTTATATCTGACAAACACCATCAGGCAGGAATCCATTAATATCCTTGCCTCATATATAACCGCAATGGCATGAGCTTATGTGATTTTGATGAACTTTGCGAAAAAAACCACCTCTTTAAATATAATTAATAGATATATTGTTAAATTGAAGAATGTGTTGAAACTTGATTAGAAATGTGACATTTCTTGCAAAATGCATGATATCTAGTTCTTTAAAATTGCTAACTTGTTTCTTGGTGTTCCTGTTTCCTTCAAACATCTTTAACAGTGGAAAGTTACGATTTTTGTTTTTGGTAAAAACTTGCAGCTGGTAGTTTGCTTTACTTGTTATAAACTAATGGAAAAATACAATCGAAATTCATTATATATGGATTATATATTATATATGCAAGGCGCTTACTAATTTACCTTTTCTTCAATAGAAATCTAAATCTATACCTTTTTGATAACATACACACACACACACACACACACAAACCCATACATATAAATTTACTGAGAAAGATAACTCAATTCTATATTCGATATATTTAAAATAATTAATTTACAACAAGGTACTTTTCAAGTCCATTGTTCAACAGGATAATTTAATGACGCTTGTATTTCTTTCACATATTAAATCATGTTTACCTCAAAATAATGGCAACCACAATCTAGCTCACAATCTAGGCTAGGTCTTATTTTTGGACAGTTTAGTATAAAACTTAGAGTAAACAAGTGCTAAACAGTAAGTACCCTTGCTCATTACGTTAGATACAAGAACAGGATGACTTTTGATATTCCACGTCTTCAGCAAGCTTTGCAAGGGTTTCTTCTTACATCTTTATTTTGAATTCGGCTTGTGACACGCATAATAATATATTATTACGCATATACTCAGGATTCTGTGCAGTGTATTGTTTAATGATTCTGCGGCTGGTTCTTTCAACAGGCGGTAAATAACCTTAGCTTGGTAGTTATCATTATTTGAGAAATTTAACAACTTTTAATTGGGTCTTATTATATTTCTCATGGCAGTTTGCCAATATAATCTCGTGTGTTTGCTACGGCCAAATCCATAAGTAGTTGCAGCTTTATCACGTGTGTAGTTACTGGACATGCGGAAAGAGTGCATGATATTCCAAGACGCATGGCTATGGTAAGTGGAAACCTCTGTGAATTGAATGGCCCCGTTGTGATAACTAGAATTTCAATGATATTAAATATTCACACTGATAAGACCTCCTACAGCTGTATAGAATTTACAATTCAATTTTGTCTTTTCTTAAAACAAGCCAATTCTAGAATCCGTAATAGTCCCAAGCATTTTTTTTAATATTTGTGTTGAATTCTATTAATGGCTTCTTCAACATTACACATAGTGATCTTTGTACGACACCTTCAACTGCCTATTGCATATAAACATTAATTTGATCTTTGAGCGGCTAACCTTGTTGTTTTAAATCTACCTCATTTGTAGCAAGTAAAGTTCAATAGAACAATTTGTTATATGTTCAAAATTTTACAGAAGTTAACATAGGCAAATTATCTAATATTTCTTACAAACCATGTCAATTTCGTTAAGTAACTGAACTTTTATACGACATTATTAAGTTGTACTCACTACACGCCAAGTATAATTGATGCTGACTTTAGGATGTTGGTTAACTGAGTTTCTCAATCAATTTAATAAATCTCAACCCTGAATTAACAATTGTCTTCAGGGCTATATCGCTTACTTTTACTTTAGTATGTTCCCCCAAAAAATAAATCACTTCATTATGCTTATAAGTTGTTGTTTGCTAACTTATTATTAAATGCTCAAATCATAGTGCATAGGTTATAAAAAAAACTGTTGTCTTGTTCATGAAGGCCATCTGTATGAATGTCACCAGTTATTAAAAAGTTAGCTAAAATCAAATAGAAATAAGACATTATATCTATTGAATTATTGTCACTAACCTTTAGAGTATTCTCCAAGCTCTTGTCAGACATATTTTTCTGAAGTCTTTTCTTTGAACTAGCAATGACACTGTTAAACAACAAACAATACTATACATGCCATACTATAGATTTGTGTTATCTAAAATGTTATTATTTAACTGAAAACTTGTAAAAATTATGATATCTTAACACTTGCACTTTTTAAAATTTGATGCTGAGTGCAAGTACTCTTAGAAATTGAATTAGGTTAACATAATATGTACTACTAGTAAAGCTTAATTTTGCTGTTGAAAATTCTGGAGTACACTTCCTTTCTCAAAAATAAGGCCAGTCTGGTTTCAAGCAAAATTAGGATAGAGAAACAAAAAATACTTTCTCCCCCCCCCCCCGAATGGAATCTTTGGCAATTAGCAACGCAACCAAAATCCAACTCCTATTTTTGGAAAGACAAAGAGGATAAGTTCTCTGCCACCACCTTGGATAAGTAAAATTATCAGCTGATTTGCAAGGAATATGTAATATCTCATCATGAGGTGATAAATAGTAGATTTTCCTCCTTCATCAAGTGGAATAATCTGGGTTTAGCAAAATGTTCAATACATCCTAGGAAACAAAGGAAAAATTACTTTGAGGAGTGAAAACGTTTAGGGATTAGCAACCAAAATCCCATAGCTCATGAGGAAATAAAGAGTTACTCCACCTTTTGTCAAGATGTAGTGGTCATACTTTATGATCCTGTAGCATGTATCTTTAAGCATCAATATTTGCTCTTGACACTATTACATTACTTGTTTGACAGTAGCCTTGTTTGCATAATGATTGTATTAAATTGAATCAGTCAAGGCTTTTTGATTTTGTTTGTTTTATTGTTGTTAAGTGCAAAGCTACACAATGGGTTATCTGTGCTGTGCCCACAACAGATATCAAAATCCACTTTTTAGCATTATAAGCCTTTGGGCATCAAACAAGGCACTGTTTTATTAATATAAGAAACATTTTCTATCATTACATTCCAATGTATTAAAATTTGTACTGGTGTACTGTTTCCTCTGTATTGTACTAGGTTCAATGTTACACTTTCTGAAGTTACTCCTTTTAGATATGAGAATAAATAAAATCTCCTGACAGTATTTTGGCCATAGGTGTTTTAACTAGTTGTGAGGTTTGTTACGTGCCAAAGTAGTCTACCTATGTTGATAATTTCTGTATATATATTTTTCCCTAAATATATTAACAAACTAACTTGTGGTCAAAAAAACTGTGTGTAATTGTTTGTATAGTTAATCACATAGTTTTAGGATTCACTTTTCACTGAACTACATAATGCAGGCTGTTAGGATCTCTTGGTCCGTAAAAAGATAACTCCTATGGCAGTTTAAGGTCAGTAAGATTTCTACAAAGACAGACATGGACCATACCAAAAGAACCAAGATTTGTGCTTACATCTAAATGATTCAGCTATTTATTATTAGTTCTTCCTGCCTATAAAATATAACAATGCCTGACTGTCTTAATTATGCAGTTTATTTGTATATATTGTATAAAAAAGTAAAATTTTTATATAAGAATTTACACTTGGAAGATGGTTAAGTCTTTTTTTTTACTCTCCATATCACTTTTTTATCATTTAACCTTTTCTATCACAAACTACCCAGTCCTGCCACCTGGATAAATTGTTACTCTGGGTTTTGGGTTACCACTACCTCTGATGATCTATTATTTACATACCAACCTTGGTAATATGCCTGTCTGTATACTCATTTCTGACTCAAAGTATTCCATATTGGCAAAATGCAGTGGTCCACCAAAGTGAAATATGACTACATTGGGAATCTGCCGAGCCTAGGATAGATAAGAATTTCACAATTTTTGATAATCTTTCATAACTTCAAAGAAAGAAGTTAAGAAGTAGGTTTTATATATCTCAATTAAGGTTTTAATTAGCTTATCATTGTGAGTTACTAGCTTAAATACTTTTATTTGTTATTATTCAGTGATTGAAAAATTAAGTTATTTTACATTTTAAATTCAAAAAAAGAGAAAAAATTACATATTCAGTTAAAGATGTTTTTTAACGCTTATTGATAAAAGTGTTTCCTTATTTTTGAGTATGTCTACAAGAAGATAAAACTTTAGAAGTTTTATCTTATACAGACTAGAAATAAGCCCTCTAAGGGTGAAACAAGAAATAATCAGACATAACAGCATTTTCTATTAAAAATCAATTGAAATTGGAAATTTTATAATATAATTTAGATTGCTACAAAAAATTTCGTAGAATCATGTACCTATTTACTAACTATAATGGTGATTATTACTGTTTTCTACCAATGATTTATTATACATAGGTATGGTACTCACTGTTGAATATTTCTTCAAGGGTACATAAACTGTTGTTTCTGGTATACACCCTAGTAGATAGGTTTTTGGTCTGTAAACAAGTGAAGAAATACAGCGAAAATTTATTTATTTATTTTGTTTGTTTCAGATATTTGCACAAAGTTAAACAAAGTGTGTTTGCACAAGCCTTCCTAATTGTGAATCAACAGACTAAAAGGACGTCTTGGTCTACTCTAATTAAATAGTAGAATTTGACTGTCAAAGAAATTTTACTTTTGTAGCTTTACGTTTAATTAAAAAATATAATACTTTCATGAGCTTCTAAACATTGAAAAAAAAATGATTAAAATCAAATACTTCCAGATTTACGTCATTTGTTTGGCGGCTGAGAAAAAAAAAGAAAACAAAGTTTGTTTAGAAGAGTATGCAAAGGATTTTTCAACTGTTCTCATGAGATTATACTGGTTTTAATTCTTTCTAAATCTTATTTTTCTTTCCAATAAAAACATATAAATTAAAAGCATGTTACATAAATACGGGAACTATTTAGGAAAATACAAAGTATCTCAGAATAACATTTATATCTTTTTTACATTTCATTATGCAAATTTATATAAGATTTGAACCAACCAAAAAAACATTACAAGAATGCTATACTATTTTATGTAATACACATTATTATAACTCAAATCAAAATACATTTCAACACGAAACAATATTTACTCCCACTTCACCATCAAATGTGGAAAGCTTTCATTTCCTTACAAAGTGCTCGATCCCTTACAATGTTTGTTATACAATGCTTCTCACTGGGTGAGACTTTACTTTCCTGTTCTCTAGTTACTAATCAACACCGACTTACAGAGGTCAACCACGATCTCACACACGTACGCAGGGGGGCGAGGGGCTCGCCATGTGAATGTTTGGCATCTGCTCTCCGCCGGTTGAACTGCCCGAAGCGCACACAAACTGACAAATGACTGAGTGCTCTATCTTTAATACATAATCATTATGACACTGCTATTAACATTGAAACTGTATGTAAGTTATTTATGGAAAATCACCCAAGAAGAATGGAGCATGTTAGCATGTTATTTCAGTATTGCATATATGTACGTCTATGATAGCCAGTGATTGAAATACCTAATATACTGTTGTTCTACAGGGTCTGTTAAATTAGTAATGTAATTTAACAATTAATATATATACTCTGCATGTAGATAACGTTGTACTTTACTATAATAAGATATACACATTTATGCTAACTTAAGTCTACTTTCCCATGCTGTGTTACAACAGAATGATGATTTGTTGACTTTCCAGTGGATGTTTGTGGATTTCATATGAACATCCATGCAGTTGTTTAAGCTATATTTCATGCCAAATTGCTTCCAGATTTAATCTCATAGCATCTATTTTTACAAACTTTCTGGAGGTGGGGCATGCCATCAGACCTCCGTATCATTAGCATGCTTTGTATGCTAATTGTGCTTCGCACAATAATGTCAATATGTGTTGACTTTTGATCTCACAAATTAGAACAAACCCTTTCAAACATTTTTTGTACAGGCCTGAATTTACTCGTTCCACATCAAGTTTCTACACAATCATCCAGTTTTGTCTTACTATATTACAACAAGAAGGCAGAGATAGCGTTAAAAGGAAGATAAACAGAAGGTTGGTAAAACATGTTTGGGTTGTGAGATATAGTAAGAGCTGACACGATGAAATAAGTTTTGCAAGTATTTAAAGGGAAAGTAACGCTTACCTTTGAGACCTGAAAATAATCGTGACCAATGAAAAAGCCACTCCGATTCCCAGCCCAATGTCAACATCTAGTATCAAGACCGAAAGAAATGTTATAATCCAAATCATCTGAAAGAGAAAGAGCACTGATGGTTACAAAAATCCACCTACAAGTTTTTAATGATATGAAAAATCAATAAATAATAAAACAGACATAAGAAAAAAACTTACTCCGTCTACTTTGTTGACTCCCCAGAAATATTTGAGATCTTTGACAAGAAGCAGAAGATTTTTCAACGCAACCACAATAATAGAAGACAGGATACACTAAAAATAGAAGAGATGCGTCAAACAATTTTGAAAGTGGATCTTAAATTGATATTAAATCCGTGAAATTTTAGTCTACATTTGTTATGATAATCGGTATTTTTCAAAGAATAATACCAAACAAAATTAAAGGAACACATAAAAAGATTGTTGGAAAATATACCGAGAAAAAGTTATTAGACCTAAAATCTCGCATTCTTATTTATTAATGAGAGACACATATGTTATGCAAGTTTATAGCGTTTTTAGTAAGGCAACCTGTGTAAAACATTTATGCGTTTAGCCTGAAATACCATTTAGTGGGGTGAAATTCTAACGTTCTTTGTTACACAGACTTAACCTTGATGAACAATGAATTCAACGTATAAGAGTATGAAAATCGAACTAAATTATTTTTAAGTCACCAAGAGACAAGTATTGAAACAAAAAATGGTTTCTTTTTAAATTGCCAAAGAGTCTACCAAATCAAAGAGAGGATATATTGTAAGTGCGTCGAATTGGGATTTTAAACCTGAATAATTTCTAGGTTCAGGTATAGCCATTCCTACTATCAAAATATCACCCACAATAACAGCAACCGACAGCTAATCACTCGGCCAATCCCGAAATTATAAGTGCGTCGACTTAATATCCTCCACAATGTTTTTTTTTTAATTCAAATACTGGTATGAATATGTGCAGTCTTTAATAAGCGGTCATAATTACATCCCCAAACAGAAGAGAAGAGAACCGAGAGATCAACAGTCAGTCACCTATGAAAAGCAATGATTAAGGTTCAAGGAATACTAATACAACGTCGGTAACTACAAGTATCCAACATCGCCTGTCTGGTGATTAATGACAAGTGCAATAGACTGAGCTTTTGTGGTATTCAAGTACAAATGATGTTCACCACAAAAGACAAAAGTTTCCTCACAACGCACGTTCAGGACTGTTAAACGGAGAGTGAATAGGAAACGGACAGTAGAGGAAAACAAAGAAATGCAAGTGTAGTTTGAAACACAAAATTCTCTATTTGCAAAACAATTTTCTGTTACTAAAACCGGCCGGGAGAAACATCGAGAAAGAGAGAACTATAGAAATACCCGACTTAATCTGGCGAAACAAAGTCCAGGGGTTCGGTACTTCAACTAATGGGTTGCATACAATTTTAAGCTATCTTTCGTGGGGTACTGAAGATCATTGAACAAAATCGAAACCTCTGTATACGTCAAACTAGGGGATCAAATAGGGATCGTAAAAAAGTAAGGAAACAACATTGGAGATACTGCAGACATCATTCACTCAAACGAAAAAAAACCCTGTTTTGGCTCCATGCTGTTACCAACAATTACATTTGGTGGATTCAAAATAGGGACTTGTAGTTTGATACTATAATGCCTATAGTATCCCTATTTGCAGGTTTTTAAATTCCCAATTTCTTATTTATCTCGTTTGCTGGCTTTTTTATGCTCAACTATGGGTAAAGGACTACTTGATATGGTACCTAACTTTATACATTGTAATGATAATAAACATAGCTAGTAGCTAGCTGATACAGTTCATGATGATTTACACAGCTTCCACTAAGCGCGAATTTTTTTTTTCAGTTCAAAAGCAGCTTTTTCGAATAAAACATCGCTTTAAATAGACCTTCGTGTTCTTTAAAGTAATTATTCTACGAATGTGTGTAATAAAATCTAATGTTATGTGTATTTATTATTATTATTTTTACTTCCTCACTTCATACATAATAAAGAGGTTGGCTCCCTATAGACACCGATTGTATAGTGTACAAAGCATTGAGTATCTACACGTTACAGTCATCTAATGTTCATCTATTATTGGCTGGTACAATGTAGGTACAATTCATCTTAACGGGAAGCTAGCTAGCTT